TGTCTCAATAGAATTAAAAAATAGCTATTACAGTATTTAGTGTTAATTATGTTATACAGTACAATTATATAATTAAAATTGTTGTATTACTATTTTGTTACATGAGATGGTTGTGCAAGATGTTAAATTATATTTTATTTGAAATAGTTTTTAAATGAGATATGTTTTGTCTAAATACAGCAGAGTAATTGGTGCAATGTTTCTTATATCTTCCAAACACATTTCACAAGTTATATCATTAAATGATCTTTGTTATACAACTAATTGTATATGAGGTTATGCGTTTCTTTTATCTGAAGAGTATCAACTTTAATTGTTTAGTTGGATAATGCATGAAAGCATATGAAATAACTTATTCAAATAGTTTAAAAATGCTTTAAATTAAAATTCATAGAACTATTCGTTGTAGAATTTCCTAGAATTTTATACTCTTAATTTTATCATCAGGTGGGCTAGGTGCTGAAAAAAGACAATTTTTTCAAAAGAAATTTTTTTACATAAATCAATTTAAGATAATAATAAGAATAGTGAATAGCAATAGGATCATTTTTCATTTAAGACACAAAAGTAGCTGATCGGTATTATACTTAATAAATAATCTAATCCGATCCAATCAGCTATATTGGCAAATTTATCTAATAGATTTGAGTTAGTAGAAATCAAGCAACTTCAGTATTATCGTTATCGATAATAAATTTGTTGAAACTAATAATATCATATGATTTTACAGACCTAGATGGGTCTATGAGATTAAATGTAGAGATAAAATCCAGATTACAATTACCGGTAAATTAAGTTTCAGTTTATTCTCCGATAGCAGCTAGAGGCTGTCAGAAAATAAACTTACAAAATTGACTATCAATCGAATTGTTTATACGTAAATAGTTTTTTATTTCATCCAGGCTAGAGTTAGAAAATTACTGTAATTTTATATGGCAAAAAGAGAGAAATTAATCATTTTTGTTCATAAGATTCATTGACAATTATTCAGCATTTTTCTTTAAAAGAAGAGTCTAATTAAAAAAAATAAAATAAAAAATCAACACAAGGCCTATTCACTATAAACAGTATGCGTAATTTAAACCAGATCGGTCACATAAATTTGTGCTATGCCATGTTTCGCTATTATGTGAATTTGGATAATTTCTTCATCTCCAGAGGTGTTACCTATTCTATATTTAATTCTTTATCTTACATTTTTAAAAAAAAAAATTATACAGATTTAGATTGTAAATTCCTAATATTGTAGTCTTAAAAAAAAAATAAATTAAACTAAAAAATAAAATGCTAAGCTAATGGTTTTGACAAATCAAGTGTAATTTTATAATTAAAGTGCTAATGGTTTATTATTCAGCTGCAAATTAATATTTATAAAATATAAATATCATGAATAAATTCTTGGTAAAATGATGAAAAGTTATTTAGTTGATTATTTTTTTTCGATTCAAATTATTTCATTTTTAAATAGAGAAAATATAATGAAATTGCAAAAAATTTACATATTTATTTATCAGCTCCTTAAATATATTTGTATTTCTTGGATTTATAGCTAGTTTCATAAAATCTGAGCCATCTGAAAATTTATTCGTTTCCCAAAATCTCTTTGGTTTCGTTTTGTGAATTATCTAACTCTTCAGAAACTACTTCACTGTCTCCAGACCGAAGTTTTGAAGACAGCGAAGTAGTTTCTGAAGAGTTAGATAATTCACAGAATGAAACCAAAGAGATTTGGGAAACGAATAAATTTTTAGGTGGCTCAGACTTTATGAAAACAGCTGTAATGAATTAAAAGAATTCAGATAAATATATTGATATCTAAACTTTATGCTATATTGATATTTAATTCAAAAGGAATATTTATCTAACCCTACCAGAGTTACAAAATTTTATTAATTATCATTTGATGCACCTATAAAGATCATCATGATAAGGGTTCCCGTGATTTTATGCATGCATACATAGCTATTGTAGTAAAAGTAAGAGTCTATTGTAGTATGTAGTTTGTGTTTGATAGTCTTATATAAATAGAAGCTTGCTTTGAATAAAATCAATTGCTTGTCAATAAATTAAGTGGTCTTGTGGTCATCATAGTCAACATAAGGACCCAAGACTCCATATCAATATACTGCAAAACTATATATGATAATTTCAAATTATGATTATATGATTTAATATTAATAATATGATTATCGTTATCTCAATATTTTTTTACCCAGGTCTAATTTTAAATTCTCACCCTTTTTCATTTGGAACACAAAATTCACAGAACAAATTTCAGAATCACGTATTGATATTTTAACTTTCAAAGATTTATTAGAAGAGATTACTGTATATAAAAAAAGGAAAGTGCTTTTGTTGTTTGCAACTGTGGCATTTCACAATATTCTACGAAGCGTGGGAACTGTTCCACTTATGTGGACCTCTCTTGGTCGATGTTTGGAAGAGAATATCATGTTTTGCTAGGCAATCTCATTCCAGTATATTGAACTTAGAGTGGACTGAAAAATGTGATATGCACATATGTGTATATGTGTATATTTTTTTTGTAGATCATATGTGAACATATGCACTGCAGTATATAATGATAAGAATAGCTTTACGAAATCTTTAAAGATAATATTACAAGCAAAACTAATTTCAAATAGTTTCGATTTATAGTATACGATAAAATTAAAACCTTATTTTTACTAAATAAATATGATAATAATATTTTCGCTCAAATTCTTTGCCAAAAAAAGGTATTAATATCTATGCCAAATAAATTGAAACTATCTGAAATTAGTTTCGCTCTTAATAGCAGAAAATCAAAATTAGTTTTGTTCTTAATATTAGAGAAATCAACAATGTAAAATTTATTATTGTTAGTTGATATTAAATAAAGGTCAAATAAAAAGCATATGAATTCGGTTTTATTTTTTTAAATTTTGATTCTTTTAAAATGATTACTCCAAGCGACCGTATTAATGAAAATAAAGAGTACAAAAACTCTTTTTATGTCGATGACGAAAAGTTGTTTTGTACTTTCTGTAAAGTTATAGTAAACCATCGAAACAAGTTTTTACTTGATCAACATTTAAACACTAGTAAGCATAGATTAAACGAATGTAAAGCAAAAGATCCAGAAGGAACAAGTCAAATTACCTTTGATTCTAATACTTGTTGGGAAGAACGTGAGATGATTAATGTAGATCTGGTTCACGCCTTGACACAAGCCAACATTTTGCTTGAAAAAATTGATAAACTTAAACCATTTTTATTGAAACATTGCAAGAACGGTATACTATATATAAATCCTAAAGGTGTAAACACAATGCCGTAACTTGAGTTATGTCAAAATGCTGTAATTCATTATAATTATGACAGAGTTATGGCATCGTGTTCATGCCTCTAATATATTTATAATTACAAATGTATATTTATTAAATTATATATTTTATTGTTTTATAGGTGGTGCAATCGTCGAATCTATGCAATTGCGTAGTAAATATTTGCCTATCGTATTTGATTCTGAAATGGAAAATTTGAAGAAATTTTTAATAAATAGCGAATTTCTATTACGGTTGACGAATCACCTGATGTTTGTGGTAGAGCAGCGGTTAACATATTATTTAGTTTTTCTAATAAAACTAAACTTGTAAAAACTGAACATCTGCCTGTTGTTAACAGTGCAACAATTATACAATTGGTGCTAAGAACCCTTTAATTTTACAATATTTCTTTTGAAAATATTATTTTTTTTATATCAGACAATGCCTCTTACATGATAAAAGCATTTAGTATTTTATCTCCTTTAATAGCTCAAATGAAACACAATTGCTGCTTGGCATATATATTGAATCTCGTTGGCGAAATGTGGGTGAATCACAAAAATTTCAAGTTACTAGATGAAGTAGTTATGCAAATTAAAGCTTTATTTACGCATAACAATACACACAAAAGAAGATGGATTTCCTTTTTAAATTCACAAAACCTTGATATATCGTCAACCTTACCGCTATTTCTTGTTAAAACAAGATGAAATTCTTGGTTCAATTTTGTTTTCTGGATCGACGAACATATTCTCCAGCTTCGAAGTTTTTATCTAAATAAAGAGCTTATTAGTAATAAAGGCAAAGCGATTAACAAATTAATATCTGTTTTGAAGAATCCCTTACTTGCATCTGAGTTTAAAATTTTAGCTGCATTTGTTACATTTAATGCACAAAAGTAATGGTAACAGTAATTTAAAAAAAATAAATATGTACGTATGTACGTATATATATAATTAATATTAATATTTTTATATTACTGTATTTAGCTTTTTTAATACACTCAAATTTTTCAAAATTCGTAACAAATCTGTGGCATCTTATGTATCAAATCATTTAACACAACTTGAAGTACAACTACAAGCTGGTACTGTTAATCCACCCTTAAATGATAAGATACTAACTAAATTTAGCACTTCGAATCTAGATTCCTCACAATATATAAACGGGTTTCGGGAGGCATATAAGTTAGCGTTAAATAAGTTTAAAAAACACATTGACCAACATCCTACTTTATCTTTATTTAAGGCAATTCAATATTTCGACCCCGGTATCTTCATTTGCAACAAAGTAGGCAAGATATTAGGTTGTATAAATGTATTCCTGAATTTGAAACCCCAAATCATACAATTATACGTGAGTGAGGGATTTATTGTAAGCTGGATGAGAATTTTAGTTATGGTAATGAATTCGATTTAGATTCTTATTGAAAAGAAAAGGCTACACATCTTTCTAATTTGTCAAAAATAGCCTTAGTTTATATTTGGCTTTCCGTTTCAGGAGTTGATGTTGAGCGAAGCTTCTCTGTATATAAAAATATTCTTACAGATAGAAGACATACTCTTTTAGAAAATTCGATTGGTATATTGAATTTTATGTATTTTAATAAAATGAATAATTTTTTTTTTTTAGATTAAATAATAAATATCATATTAAATTCTTTCTCAACTAAAACAAATCTCTAAAATGGTGAATAAATTTTTGCTTAATGCACATTTTATTTTAAAGTAAAATTTTTTATTAATACATATATCAACTATATTAAAGATGCAAAGTGAGTTTGGGTTATTAACTTGTAAAAATTTATATTTTCAGTAATGATAACCTAATTAATACTTTCGTTTCAAAAAACAAAAAAAAAAGTAAATAAATAAATATACCGATATATATATTTCATACT